TTAGAGGAGAGACCCGGCTGGGGCCCTGTCATGAAGCCACCTGTGCCATTCCCTTAGTGATAACACAAAGAATACATTACAGAAAGACATCTGGAGTTAATCAGTCTAATCTGGAAAATCTAATTCTTGTTCCGTGTAAGAATCAGCCGACCACAACCGCTGATACTGAAATCTTGATCTTATGTTCATGGCTGAAACTTGGCTTGACCAAAATACAGAAAATGCAGTTTTAATAGAAGCATCACCACCAAATTTCAAATTTGAATCTGAAATACGGGAAAACAAAAAAGGAGGAGGCTTAGCTGCCATTTTTAGAGACCACTTTGTCTCCCATAGAATGTCTCTTGGGAAGTTTCCGTCTTTTGAATATGTGTCTTTTAAAATACAACAAAAACAATCTCCTCCAATACTCTTCATAGTTCTATACAAGCCACCGCAGTCATGTCACAGTTTTATTGATAATTTTACCGAGTTGCTTTCAGTTGTATGCACAGATTTTGATAGTTTAGTTATTACAGGTGATTTTAATATTCATGTGGATAATGTTGATGGCAGAAATGCAAAAGAGCTGAGTTCTTTACTTGATACCTTTGGTCTCACTCAGCACGTGAGTGGCCCCACCCACAGCAGAGGGCACACTCTAGACCTGTTAGTTACAAAGGGGGTGAATATTTCAAATATAAGCGTGGTCGATGTTGCTCTTTCGGATCATTTCTGTGTATTTTTTGATATGTGTTTCACTAACAAACCACCAGTGGACTCTGCAACTGTTCGAAGAAGACACATAAATGAAAATACGAGTGAACTATTTATGGGAATGATAAACTTTGAAAATGCATCGTATTCTACTGTAGATGAACTGTTTAACTCTGTCACCTCTAGTGTTTTGAATGTTCTGGATACCGTTGCCCCTGTGAAGGTTAAAATAGTGAAAAATAAGCAGAAGGCGCCGTGGGCTAAAGCAGACTCGGTCAGAGCACTGAAGAGAAAGTGCCGGAGGGTCGAGCGGAAGTGGCGCAAGTCCAACCTCCAGGTTGATTACAAGATATTCAAAGATAAGTTGTGTGAGTTTAACCGGGTGCTACGTAGTACGAGAGAAAGGTATTTTTCTGAAATGATTGAAGGCTGCAGCAACAATCTGCGTGTTCTGTTTTCAACAGTTAATAGATTAACAAACCCCCCTGTTCAGATGCCATTAGAGCAAACTTCCAAACGTAAATGCAATGAGTTTGCACACTTTTTCAATGACAAGGTTCAAGGCATCAAAAACGCCATCGTCTCCAATCCACAGATAACCATCCAACAGCCAGAAAGGCTCTCTGAGCTAACTTACTTTGCACCTGTAGATGATAAAAATGTCCAAGAAATAATCTCCAGTTTGAGCTCCTCCACATGCAGCCTGGATGTACTACCCACTAGATTTCTGAAGTCTGTTCTGGGCAGTCTGTTACCTTCACTCACACAGATAGTAAATCAATCAATCAATCAACGTTTATTTATAGAGCGCCTTTCCTACACAAGGCAACGCAAAGCGCCTCACAACCCATATAACATCATGCATAAATCATCAAACATTAGAATTTAAGTAAACATAAAAGGACAGATTAAGAGCACAAGATATATAAAATCACACAAGTAGTTAAAAACCGTAAAACATTAAAATCACACAAGGGATTAAAATCATAAATAATCATAAATAATCATAGTGCATTAAAAAGATTAAAGATAAAAACAAATATAAAATCATTCACTTGTATGCACAGCTAAAAAGAACTGTTTTCAGTTCAGTTTTAAAAACTGCTAGAGTAGACGCCTGTCTCACACTCTCGGAAAGACGGTTCCAGACTCTAGCTGCATGAATCTGAAACGCAGCCTCCCCATGTCTAGTTCCGACTCTTGGCACTAACAGAAGTCCAGTCCCTGTGCTCCTCAGAGCCCGAGTTGGTTCATATGGCACCAACATGTCGCGGATGTACCCTAATGCGAGGCCATGGAGAGACTTGTACACAAGTAAAGCTACTTTAAAATCTATTCTCTGAGCCACAGGAAGCCAGTGCAGAGACCTGAGGACCGGACTAATGTGGTCGTACTTCCTGGTTCTAGTCAGGACTCGAGCTGCAGCATTTTGGATGTACTGCAGCTGTTTTACCGCTTGTTTAGAGAGACCTGTGAACAAGCCATTGCAGTAGTCCAATCGACTGGAGACAAATGCGTGGATAAGAATCTCCAAGTCTGCTTTAGACACAATGTTTTTAATTTTAGCAATGTTTCTTAGGTGGAAGTAAGCTGATGATGTCACAGATGATATGTGGCTATTGAAATTTAAGTCTGAGTCCATTATTACTCCTAGATTTCTGACCTGAGTTGAGGGTCCCTTCATTCTGGAATATTCCCAAAGGCCCTGAAAACGGCAGTCATCAGGCCCCTGCTAAAAAAGAGCAGCCTGGATGCTACGGTACTTAACAACTATCGTCCCATCTCAAATCTGCCATTTATGGGGAAAGTTCTTGAAAAAGTTGTCTACCTACAGCTTACTAGATTTCTTATAATTAACAACTCATTTGATATGTTTCAGTCCGGCTTTAGACCCCACCACAGCACTGAGACTGCTCTTGTCAAGGTTACAAACGATATCCGGCTGAACACTGACGCAGGCAAAGTCTCAATCTTAATCTTGTTAGATCTGAGTGCTGCCTTTGACACCGTCGACCATGAGATCCTCTTACAGAGACTAGAGGACTGGGTTGGAGTCGCTGGCACCGCCCTAAGTTGGTTTAGGTCTTACCTTGAAGACAGGAAGTACTTTGTGGAGATTGGAGACTGTGTCTCAGATCATATGGCCCTGACCTGTGGAGTACCACAGGGGTCGATCCTGGGACCTCTTCTGTTCAATCTTTACATGTTGCCGTTAGGTCAGTTAATACGCAGAAACGAAGTGTCCTATCATAACTATGCAGACGACACTCAGATCTATGTCTCACTGACTGCAGGAGAACATGGACCAGTGGACTCACTCCTTCACTGTATCCAACAGATCAGTGAGTGGATGCAAAACAACTTCCTTCAGCTAAACGCAGACAAAACTGAAATGATTGTCTTTGGTCCCCAGAAACAAAGAGAGAGCGTCATCTGTCACCTACAGTCTCTCTCCCTAAAACCTTCAAACAAGGTCAGAAATCTAGGGGTAATACTGGACTCAGACTTAAATTTTAATAGCCACATCAAATCAGTAACATCAGCAGCTTTTTACCATCTAAAAAACATTGCCAGGATCAAAAACATAGTGTCTAAAGCAGACTTGGAGATTCTTATCCATGCATTTGTCTCCAGTAGGTTAGACTACTGCAATGGCCTGCTCACAGGTCTGTCCAAACAGGCTGTAAAACAGCTGCAGTACATTCAAAATGCAGCAGCTCGAGTCCTGACTAGAACCAGGAAGTACGACCACATTAGTCCGGTCCTCAGGTCCCTGCACTGGCTTCCTGTGGCTCAAAGAATAGACTTTAAAACAGCTCTGCTTGTGTACAAATCTCTCCATGGCCTCGCACCAAACTATATTAGTGACATGTTAGTCCCATATGAACCAGCCCGGACTCTGAGGAGCACAGGGACTGGACTCCTGTTAGTGCCCAGAGTCAGAACTAAACATGGGGAGGCTGCTTTTCAGATTCATGCTGCTAAAATCTGGAACAGTCTTCCTGAAGATGTGAGACAGGCCTCCTCTCTGACAATGTTTAAAACCAGGTTAAAGACGGTTCTGTTTAGCTGTGCATACAACTGAGGGATTTTATATTTTTATCTTTTTTTTTTTATGTACTGTGATTATTTATGATTGTAATGCTTTCTTGTTCTGTTCAGCACTTTGAGTTGCCTTGTGTATGAATTGTGCTATACAAATAAACTTGCCTTGCCTTGCCTACTTAAACCAAACTTTACACTGACATTTGACTCTTAAAACACACATATATCCACATGGAACCATCAACATCTCGCCTCAAACTGAATTAAAAGTGACATCCAAGGTCTTAATTCGTACGTATTTAAACTTTTTTTTAAATTCAGACTTTATGTCCGCCATCTTGGTTTTGCCTTGGCTGAGACACGCACGAGAAGTCATTATCACATCCATGATTTTATAGTACTGCACATTTAGAGGGCAGAGACCAGAGAAACCACAGAGGAAGACCAGAGAGACACACAATCCATTAAATAGTAGGACAATAGTAATAATGATAATTCAGGCGTGTATGTCAAAGCTTTTTTACATTTATAAACAACATCACAGTAGGTTTATTCTGTGGGTTTGTGTTAAAATGATGTACAAAGAGAGTTACTATATAAATTCATTTGGTCACATTTTAGTTTAGTTCTCACTAATGAAAAGATAATTAAGTGCTACTTAGTGTATAAATTAATAATTAGTTAGCTCTTAATTGGTATTTATTAAGCACTTGTTAGCCTTTTTCCACTTTCCCATGTTGGTTAGAGTTAGTGTACATCAATTCAGACTTAATTAGCTTTTATGTCGGAAGAGTAAAAACAGGTTCTTCAAACCCGGGTTTAAAAGGAGACCACTGGATTAAAAGCAAATTAAAACAGATTTATTATAAAATACAATAAAAACAAGTAAAAGAATAAAGAGCAATAAAAATCTAAGCTAAAAACACGGGATAAAAGTTAAAACGAGGCTAAAAATCCTTCCCTACCTGTTACATCCAGGGGTGGCATCCAATTTTTCAGTTTAATACATTGCTATCTGCTGCCATCTACTGATATGAAAAAGTATTACATGGTTACTCCACAGTTAAAAACAAGTCACCGCTGCCAACAGCAAATGCAGTTATTTTTAGACAAAGTAGACAATTTTCTCACGGCACACCAGACAATATCATACAGCACACTAGTGTGCCACGGCACAGTGGTTGAAAAACTACAACACAAACAGGAATATCAAATGATACAAACATGAAACAGACCATAGTGCTCTTGAAACTCTGGATTTACTTGTAGGGTGTTTCTTTGTAGCAGATGGAAGGGTGGCCCTCGCTGCTGTAATAACCCTGCTGTTGGAGACGTCCGCTTCTCCTCAGATCTGAAATTACATTTACACAACACATTTATCGTAAGCACAAGGCAATTTCTAGGCAAAGTCAAGAGGATTTTGGAGCTAATTTAGCAGAGAAACTCAAAATATGAGAGCGAGAGATTAGGTGCATTATCTTTAAGATATATAGTTAGATAGATGAATTCAGGTGTCCAGCAGCAGGAAGTAAAACCAGATCAAGTTCAGATCAACAAAGATTCAGCAAAAAATATGGTTTGACTGCAAGATCTTTGTTCTAGATAATCTACAATACCCAGAATTCTTTAGTCCTGTTATTATACTTTTGTTGTGTGCTCCTCACAGTAACCTGCGATGCAACACTGACATTTCCCATTTGTGGCATGAATACAGGATCTCTTCATCTTAATCTTAACAAAGGCTTAATACGTCTCACTGTGCAATATGTGACGTGACATGGAAACAATATTCTATTTCTCTGAGTGTCACCTGAACGCTGTAGTTACTGTTGATGTGGAGGCGGACTTGTTGGACAGTCTCGGGGTCTGTGTGTTGAAGGCCAAAGGTTTGGAATGATAGTCCGTTCTGGTCATAAATGAAAGAGCCCAGAAACTCCTCTTCGCTGTCCTCCCACTTCAGGCCCTGAAATCACCAGAGACATACAGTAAATTTGACATAGTTCTAACAGATGCAAAGAGAGACCAGAGTGAGTGACCAAAAAGAGAGAGAACAGAGAGAGGTGGTGTTGTTGTGGACTTGTGCTACTTATCTCTTAACTATTGTGGAAGTTCTCACTCACATATAGAGCCATGTCTCTGGGAGCGCTGGGAGTGTCTTTGGTCGGGGATTGAATCTTTCGGATGTATGGTGTATGGTATGGTGTTCTTGGGATGCAACTCCGTATTCTTCTTCCTCCAAACACGACAAGTTGAGTTTATACCAAACAGTTCTACTTTGGTTTCATCTGACCACATGACATTCTCCCAATCCTCTGCTGTATCAGCCATGTGCTCTCTGACAAACTTCAGACGGGCCTGGACATGCACTGGCTTCAGCAGGGGGACACGTCTGGCACTGCAGGATTTGAGTCCCTGTCGTCGTAGTGTGTTACTGATGGTAACCTTTGTTACTTTGGTCCCAACTCTTTGCAGATCATTCACCAGGTCCCCCCGTGTGGTTCTGGGATTTTTGATCACCGTTCTCATGATCATTTTGACCCCACAGGATGAGATCTTGCGTGGAGCCCCAGATCAAGGGAGATTATCAGTGGTCTTGCATCTCTTCCATTTTCTGATAATTGCTCCCAGTTGATTTGTTCACACCAAACTGATTGCCTATTGTAGATTCACTCTTCCCAGTCTGGTGCAGGTCTACAATTGTTTTCCTGGTGTCCTTCGACAGCTCTTTGGTCTTGGCCATAGTGGAGTTTGGAGTCTGACTGTTTGAGGCTGTGGACAGGTGTCTTTTATACAGATAACGAGTTCAAACAGGTGCCATTAATACAGGTAACAAGTGGAGGACAGAATAGCTTCTTAAAGAAGAAGTTACAGGTCTGTGAGAGCCAGAGATCTTCCTTTTTTGAAGTGACCAAATACTTATTTTCCACCATAATTTACAAATAAATTCTTTAAAAATGCTACAGTGTGAACTCCTGGATTTTTTTTCACATTCTGTCTCTCACAGTTGAAATGTACCTATGATGAAACTTACAGACCTCTGTCATTATTTAAGTGGGAGAACTTGCAAAATCGGTGGCTGACAAAATACTTTTTTGTCCCACTGTATACCATGTCCCAGTACATGTTATAACTAACAGTAGTTAGTTATAACATGTAGCTATCTCATGTCCCAGTACATGGTATAACGACTGCCGCAGTCATCCCATGTCCCAGTACATAAAAATAACGACTACTTCAATAATGTTGGACATCAATGATGTAGTCATTATTCGATGTATTGTGATCCTCCCGTTCTAATTTCTATGTCTAATTTTCGCTTCCGAGCTCAAATCCCAACCCCTTCCCAGCCCGCTCCAGTCCATCCAGTAACACCTGCCTAGTCCAGTCCCGCTTAAACCTTGTAGAGGGAGGTGAAGTCCTTGTTACCATAGTTACTGTCAATGTGGCGGCGGCCTTGTTGGACAGTCTCAGGGTCTGTGTGTTGAAGGCCAAAGGTTTGGAATGATAGTCCGTTCTGATCATAAATGAAAGAGCCCAGAAACTCCTCTTTGCTGTCCTCCCACTTCAGTCCCTGAAAACACCAGAGACATACAGTAAATGTGACAGTTCTGACAGATGCAGAGAGAGACCAGAGAGAGACTAGCGTGAGACAAGAGAGAGACCAGAAAGAAGAGACCAGCGTGATAGACCAGAGTGAGTGACCAAAAAGAGAGAGAATAGAGAGAGGTGGTGTTGTTGTGGACTTGTGCTACTTATCTCTTGACTATTGTGGAAGTTCTCACTCACATATAGAGCCATGTCTCTGGGAGCGCTGGGAGTGTCTTTGGTCGGGGATTGAATCTTCCGGATGTGACCGATGGTGACATGCCGGACTCTGATGCCCTGGGAGGGCTGGATGGTCACATAACCCTTGTCCCCCGCCATCGGCCAGCACACACCGGGGCGTAGCGGGGAGCAAGACTGGGGAAGACAGAGGAAACAGCACATAAGTTTGAACACACACATCTGTGAATACAAAGGAGTCCACTTGAAGGAACCCCGATGAGTATTACTAGTCTTATAATGAATAGTAATACTGTGAAATATGGATATTAGGGGTGGAACTTGGCAAAAAGGTGTCAATATTACCGTGACATATAACATATTTTTATTTTATTCTGCGATTTATATCCCTCATATTTTTCAAAGGAATTACAACAAAATCGATTGAAGTGAGTGGCCAAAATATTGCAATGCTGATTGGAATGCTGGATATAGGACCCATTCCCAGGTCCACACACAGGGTCAAAGCGTGGGAATGGTTCTGTTTGTTTTATGAAGCTTGAAAAAAAACTTGTTAAAACCTGCGAGACTTGTGGGTGCTGTGTTGCAATGGCTTGTGGGATTCAAAGTTTTTATAATCAGGAAGTAATTTGTAGACAGCATAAAACACACCAATGAGGGGCAGGAGCAGGAGTTAGGGCTACTAGAGAGAAAGACCAGAGAGAGACCTAACCTGGTAAGAGCCAGATTGATGATTGTGTAGAACTCTAATGCGTTCTCCACAATATCAATCTGGGACTTCTGCAGGAGAATCTTTTCGGGGAAAGGAGGGATAAGCAGCAGAATACTTCAAGCTGATTGGGCAAAGTGACGCTGTGTGCCCGCCTACCAAGGTTTGACTTAAACCAATCCCGGTAACATCTTTGCCGTCCAGAAATGCACAAAGCGCCTCTCGCTGTTCATCTTTCAAAAAACGACTTGATAGCCTCAGCTACGCGTCCGTCCTCCTGCGTAGCCATGTTTGTTTTGCTTCGGCCCGGCACTTCTTGCTTTCGTCAAACCCAGATACCTCCCTAAACCCCCAGACTCGCGCGTGATAGGCTTGAACACCTAGATGTTCTACTCAAAAAGGGTTGGCGGGAGCGGGGCAAGATGTATTCTCAAGTGTTTGTGAACTCACAAATACCGCGAGAATTCAGATTCTAGGCAAGGTTAAGAGAGACCAGCGGGAGACCAGAGAGACCTGAGAGAGACCCGAGAGAGACCAGCGTTTTTGTATTGAAACTGCATTTTGACCTCATTGTGTTACAATTTTTTGAAGAGCTCGTACCTGTAATATGTGGTGTTGTCTTAGAAAAAACCAAGTTCTGGCCCATTCTCTCCAGGTTGGACTCTGACATGTACTGAAAGTCTGACTGATGATGAAATTGGCCCCTTTAAACACAACACAAGTCAATATCACATCCATGATTTATATTACTGCACATTGAGAGAGCAGAGAGAGAGAAACCAGAGAGGGAGAAACCAGAGAAAGAGAAACCAGAGAGAGAAACCACAGAGGAAGACCAGAGAGACCAGAGACACACAATCCTATTAATAGTAGGACAATAGTAGGAGATATTTAGGCGTTTATGTCAAAGCTTTTTTACATTAATAAACATCACATTAGGTTTATTCTGTGGGTTTGTGTTAAAATGATGTATAGAGATACTATATAGATTAATTTGGTCACTTTTTAGTTTAGTCCTCACTAATGAAAACATAATTAAGTGTGTAATTTATGATTAGTTAGCTCTTAATTGGTATTTATTAAGCGCTTGTTAGTCCTTTTCCACATGGCCTTATTTAACATTTAACTGACACTTTCCCATGTGGGTTAGTGTACATTAATTCACACTTAGCTGTTAAATAGTGAGGGCTAATCTGAAGTGGAACCATTCATTTGAATACATCTTCAGAGTTGGCCTTAGATACAATAGTGAGCAGAGCTGAGCCGTACCGTTCTCCAGGCTGGCGTAGTTTGGTCCTTGATTACCCTCCTTATAAAGCAGACCAGAGTACAAGTCCTGGTCCGCTTTGTGATACAAGTGACCTGCACATGGGAGACATCAGGGACATCATGGAAAACGTTTTTACAATGTATTTTGTGAACATTTCAACCCACAACCTGCTGTTTATTGAGGAGTAGGACAGTGCTTTAGGGTCGAAGAGTGATTGCGTGTGTGGGTGTGTGCATGGTTTGTTGTCTCTCTGTGGGTGTGTGTGTCTTGGTGTCTGTGTGTTGCTTTTCGAACCATGTAATTGTTATCTCAGTGATAACATGTGTTGTGCAGCTTCTAAATAAATCATATAAAATAATAATGAAGATTAAAAATAAATTCCAAAGCCTCAGTTGCTTTGATGACAGTCTCACATAAGTCTTACCAAAAGTTATGATCATTGTTGCTGCGAACAGACACAGACATTTTCTTTTTTGAGCCCCTTGTTGCCACTTTGAGGCTTCCAAATAGAAAGACTTTATTTGTTTACACCCAAAATATACACCCTTTTCTGCGCAACTTTCATACATGGGGGCCATCGTCTCTAAATTATTCTCGCTGCTTGTGTGCAACTTTTAAATGTCCACAAGATGGCGCCAGACTCAGAGCTGGACCATGTGCTTCTACACCATTATAGATCCATGTTCTACACTCACAATACTATCTACTGATTATTGTTAAACAATCAAATACACTCAACAAAACACAGTATTGCATGAAATAAGTTTCATAAATGTTCACCACTCATGTGGTTCTTTTACCAAAACTGGTGTGGTTCAAGTTTACCCATTTCCCTCCCTTGACCGTTAGCTTAGCAAGTTAGCATAAAAAACGGTCACATATTTATACAAAACCTCATACAACTTCATTGTACACATTACCACGGTTCACAATACACTCTTAGACACCTGATAACTCTAACAATTGGCATGAACATGTCTTTTTAACAATTTACCAACCTGTGATAAAAAGAAGAGACAGAGCACATGGTGAGCTGCGTTTACTTCAACCAAGCCCCGGTGATCCAAGATGGCGTCCTATTCAAATGAATGGCTTGTGCGCAGTAGCGCATGGGACTTCATGGAGACCAGGAGATTAGCAGAACTCGCCAGAAGCTCTGGGCATCGTCTGGTCCTCGCGGGCTGGGAAGGGGTTGGGATTTGAGCTCGAAAGCGAAAATTAGACATAGAAATTAGAACGGGAGGATCACAATACATCGAATAATGACTACATCATTGATGTCCAACATTATTGAAGTAGTCGTTATTTTTATGTACTGGGACATGGGATGACTGCGGCAGTCGTTATACCATGTACTGGGACATGAGATAGCTACATGGTATAACTAACTACTGTTAGTTATAAAATGTACTGGGACATGGTATACAGTGGGACAAAAAAGTATTTTGTCAGCCACCGATTTTGCAAGTTCTCCCACTTAAATAATGACAGAGGTCTGTAAGTTTCATCATAGGTACATTTCAACTGTGAGAGACAGAATGTGAAAAAAAATCCAGGAGTTCACACTGTAGCATTTTTAAAGAATTTATTTGTAAATTATGGTGGAAAATAAGTATTTGGTCACTTCAAACAAGGAAGATCTCTGGCTCTCACAGACCTGTAACTTCTTCTTTAAGAAGCTCTTCTGTCCTCCACTCGTTATCTGTATAAAAGACACCTGTCCACAGCCTCAAACAGTCAGACTCCAAACTCCACTATGGCCAAGACCAAAGAGCTGTCGAAGGACACCAGGAAAACAATTGTAGACCTGCACCAGACTGGGAAGAGTGAATCTACAATAGGCAATCAGTTTGGTGTGAACAAATCAACTGGGAGCAATTATCAGAAAATGGAAGAGATGCAAGACCACTGATAATCTCCCTTGATCTGGGGCTCCACGCAAGATCTCATTCCGTGGGGTCAAAATGATCATGAGAACGGTGATCAAAAATCCCAGAACCACACGGGGGGACCTGGTGAATGATCTGCAAAGAGTTGGGACCAAAGTAACAAAGGTTACCATCAGTAACACACTACGACGACAGGGACTCAAATCCTGCAGTGCCAGACGTGTCCCCCTGCTGAAGCCAGTGCATGTCCAGGCCCGTCTGAAGTTTGTCAGAGAGCACATGGCTGATACAGCAGAGGATTGGGAGAATGTCATGTGGTCAGATGAAACCAAAGTAGAACTGTTTGGTATAAACTCAACTTGTCGTGTTTGGAGGAAGAAGAATACTGAGTTGCATCCCAAGAACACCATACCATACACCATACATCCGAAAGATTCAATCCCCGACCAAAGACACTCCCAGCGCTCCCAGAGACATGGCTCTATATGTGAGTGAGAACTTCCACAATATTCAAGAGATAAGTAGCACAAGTCCACAACAACACCACCTCTCTCTGTTCTCTCTCTTTTTGGTCACTCACTCTGGTCTCTCTCTGCATCTGTTAGAACTATGTCACATTTACTGTATGTCTCTGGTGATTTCAGGGACTCAAGTGGGAGGACAGCAAAGAGGAGTTTTTGGGCTCTTTCATTTATGATCAGAACGGACCATCATTCCAAACCTTTGGCCTTCAACACACAGACCCCGAGACAGTCCAACAAGTCCGCCTCCACATTAACAGTAACTATGGTAACAAGGACTTCACCTGCCTCTACAACGTCCGAGTGCACGGAGAGGTTTAAGCGGGACTGGACTAGGCAGGTGTTACTGGACGGACTGGAGCGGGCTGGGAAGGGGTTGGGATTTGAGCTCGGAAGCAAAAATTAGACATAGAAATTAGAACGGGAGGATCACAATACATCGAATAATGACTACATCATTGATTTCCAACATTATTGAAGTAGTCGTTATTTTTATGTACTGGGACATGGGATGACTGCGGCAGTCGTTAAACCATGTACTGGGACATGGTATAACTAACTACTGTTAGTTATAACATGTACTGCGAAATGGAATAGCTACATGGTATAACTAACTACTGTTAGTTATAAAATGTACTGGGACATGGTATACAGTGGGGCAAAAAAGTATTTAGTCAGCCACCGATTTTGCAAGTTCTCCCACTTAAAATAATGACAGAGGTCTGTAATTTTCATCATAGGTACATTTCAACTGTGAGAGACAGAATGTGAAAAAAAAATTCCGAGAATTCACATTGTAGGATTTTTAAAGAATTTATTTGTAAATTATGTTGGAAAATAAGTATTTGGTCACTTCAAACAAGGAAGATCTCTGGCTCTCACAGACCTGTAACTTCTTCTTTAAGAAGCTCTTCTGTCCTCCACTTGTTACCTGTATTAATGGCACCTGTTTGAACTCGTTATCTGTATAAAAGACACCTGTCCACAGCCTCAAACAGTCAGACTCCAAACTCCACTATGGCCAAGACCAAAGAGCTGTCGAAGGACACCAGGAAAACAATTGTAGACCTGCACCAGACTGGGAAGAGTGAATCTACAATAGGCAATCAGTTTGGTGTGGACAAATCAACTGGGAGCAATTATCAGAAAATGGAAGAGATGCAAGACCACTGATAATCTCCCTTGATCTGGGGCTCCACGCAAGATCTCATCCCGTGGGGTCAAAATGATCATGAGAACGGTGATCAAAAATCCCAGAACCACGCGGGGGGACCTGGTGAATGATCTGCAAAGAGTTGGGACCAAAGTAACAAAGGTTACCATCAGTATATTCCCCTACACCTCTTATACTCAATACAATGTTCTTGTATGACATGCTTTAGAATAAGCCTGCTTCCTTTTTTCACTGCATTATCACACTCTTGATTCCACCAGGGAACAATAACACGATTACCAGCTTTTTTTAAACTCCACCACAGATTTAGCCATTTTAAGCAGCCTACCTTCGTCCTTTTCTAAAGAGTCTTCCCGTTTTCTCGATACCTTATCCCTTTCACCACCCCCTGACGCAGAGGACATGACCAGGGGTCAAACAAACTATATTAAGTAAAGTCAATATTCCAAGGTCCATTATAAGTGCAAAGTCATAACTTACGAACGCCAAGACAAGTTGTCCTACAGCAAAATAACAAAAGGGAACTTTTCGAATTTCCCGCCAGCTCCTGCTCTCCCAGTGACAGGTCAGACTGCGCATGTGCTTTCCCAAAACTCCAAACCAATGTCTTCTAATCTCTCCTCAACGAAGAGTAGTGATGCGCACTCCCGCTGGTTAACCAATCAGAGTTTGGTCCGACTCTTTATAGAGGCGCGTCCTACCTTGGCCCGCCTCTGACGTCGAGTGACTTGGCCCGGAACAGAGCAGGTGTTTGATCAGTGTCTCGCTACCAAACTACCACTGTTCAATAGCACAAGGCAAGAGGCCGTGCAATTGAACCACGCAATCGTCGTATGCGCTTTTGGTGAGTACTGCGTAGTGATTAAAATATTAGTTCGATCATCCTGAAATAGTGTTTTGTAGCATACCGGTGTCTTAGCGCGCACACTGCTGCTGTGCCTGCACTCCTTCACCGGGCCCTTTGGCGTGGACGTTAAGCCTAGTGTATACTCGCGCGGCGCGGAGCTTACGGAGGTGACGTGACGTCACTTGCGCAACGCGTTGGTCACCGCAAAGCCCTTACGTTGCCTGCCGCGCAGCATCGACATTTTCTAACTACGTAAGGGTCTCCGCAAGGAATCTCCGCTGTGATTGGTCCGTGTGTGTGTATTGGAAGGAAGCATGGAGCGGCTGCAGCAGGGACATGGACGAGGCACTATGGAGCAGAGAGCTTTGTGCTCCGAAGGAAAAGCAGTTTGGGCTCAGAGCCTGATATACAGGAGACTGTGGACTATCTAACATATATATAACTTATAAACTTTTCAGTCGTTTGTTTTGCACTGTTCCTGTCTTTGAATCGTAGCTGCGTTTGTTGCTTTCCTCCTGCACTCGTAAATCGTTCATGTTTGTCTCAGATATTTATCACTATTATTGTTTTGCTGTTTGTGCTGAAAACTATTTAGTAATAACTATGTTTCCAACAAGAACTGTATCTTTATTCACAGCATCACAGTTGAAATGACTTATAAAATAATGAATCCATAAAACTATCACATAAACCTACAGTAGAAACACGTGTGATGAGCTCAAACAGCTTTGTTTGCTATTGTTGTTCTGAAGAGGACAAAGTAGCAGCGTAAATGGGACAGCTCCTGTGTGATCGCCCTCATGTGGTTTGTTGTGGGATTACAACATTCTCCTCAAAACTCCGTAACGGGAACGCGCCAGTATAACATCAATTGTGCTTACGTAGGTCCACCGCAACCGCTAACGTAAGCCACGCCGCGCAAGTATACACTAGGCTTTACATCCAGCGTCCCCAATCCTCCACGCACCTCAGTTAAGGACAATCCAGCCAGTGCTCCTCTTGATTCCTCTACCCACAAGGTAATCAAATTCTTGCCCTAGTGTGGCTAAACGCAACGGCTGCTGTAGTTGGGACACTTTTAAAACAGTTCATGGTTTCTTTTCTTTTTGTTTTCTCTGGCTGCTAATTGTTTGTTCTGGAATGCATGGAGTATGAATGAGAGTGTGTGTGGTGTGATTGTAGAATATTTTAATTAGAATAATCAATTAAAGCTTGTCAGTAATTTAAATAAACGTATATTTTGTTATATTTGCCTCAGTCTCTCTCTCCATATCCATACGAACCTGTGACCTAGTGAATGGGATAAACCTAATGGTTCCTTAGGCCAAAATCTAAGGTGGCGTTGCTGGTATTATTTACATGTATAGTTCTTATTAAAAATATAGTGAAATTCTAGCTAAGTGCTTCCGAACTTGCGACAGAAGCAACCTACTTTATTCAATGAAACAGTCTGAAAACACACCCACAAACCATCATGGGAAAGTACAGTTTCAAATGGGAGCCCTCCTTATTGCTTGCTTCCAATTGACGTCACGTCCGCCTCATTACTTATGCGTATCACAAAGTGGTGGTCAGCCGAGCTAGTTGTTTACTAGAGAAACGTGTCTGAATATGCCTTGTGCGTGTTGTTTTAGGTTGTTCTAAGTGATCGAATCCCTCTGTGCATGAGAGCCACACACACTGATTGCTGCAGTATCATGGGAGTTCATCAACTGCGTAGAACCGGGAGGACCGGACGAGGCCCAAATATTGCTTGCCTGCAATCACGTGACGCATAAACTTCCGGTTGACAAAGTGGTGGTCAGGCCAGCAAGAGTTGCTGCGGATATATGGAGAAAATGCGACTCTTCAGAGTATTTTTTTGCTTTTTTGGATATTTCATGACACTTTGAAGCTACTTTGGTGAACATTCTAGCTCATTATTCTAACAATATGCACAAGGCAGAATTTTTCCACTACATGTTTTGGTAATATCAAGGTTGAAGCTACTGGCACCATGCTAATATGCTAATAATGCTAATAAGGCCCCGACTCCACCGGGCGCGTAAAACGGACAACGGATCCGTCCAAACATGTCCGTTTCATCTCCGTCTCCGTTATCTCCATGAGAGTGAATGGAAGTGGCTCCACTGCCTCCAACATCCGTCCATTCCGTCAACGGAGGGTGCAACGAACGCGGACGGACGAAATAGAAACAATGGGCCTCATTCACAAATAACTTCGTAAGAAACTACTTTCTTCTCAAGTTGTCCTTAAGTAGATTTCTAAGAAGTCCCCACGTGGGATTCATCAACGCACTCGTAAGCCGCTGAATTGTTCGCAGCTGTTCTCTCAGATTGATGAATCCCATTTCCTCGTAAGTACAGCGCGCGTGCCAGGTGCTTCATTAGCATAGGTACTTGGCATAAGTAACCGCCCACTAATGCCCATATAAGGGGCTGCAGGGCCGTGTGCAGACGGCTGAGGAAACAGCAACAGGCCTAAAGCAAAGAGTTACACGGAGCAAAAGAGTCACCCTTTTTTCTTCTTTTACCAGACTGAGAATAAAGTTATAAAATGTTGACTTAAAAGTCGAAATATTATGATAATAAAGTCGAACTAGCAAAATTATTAGATTAATCTAAGAATATGATGAGATTAATCTCAAAATGTTATGAGCTTAATTTAAAAATATATTATGTATTATTTTAAAGATTAATCTCAAAATGTTTTGAGATTAATCTAAAAATATTTTGGACCCTGGGAGGAGATCCAGCGCGGACCAGCGCTGAGACCAATGCAGACCCGAGGAGAGACTGGAGTGTCCAGCACACAGAAACCAGCGCGGACCTATAGGAGAGACCGCATAGACTGGAGTGACCTGACTGGAGAGACCGGTGCGCAGAGACCAGCGCGGACCGAAGAGAGACCGCATAGACCAGACTTGAGAGACCAGCGCGGACCCGTATGGATCCAGGAGCATGCAGCACGGACCCGTATGGAGAGAGACCAGTGCAGACCCGTCTAGATCCATGGGAGAGACCAGTGCAGACCAGTATAGATCCATGGGAGAGACCAGTGCAGACCCGTATATGGGAGAGACCAGTGCAGACCCGTATAGATCCATAGGAGAGACCAGCGCAGAGACTCAGCGCGGACCCAGTAACCTCCTGCAGCAGCAGTATATATGCCGTTGTTCTGTGGCCCGTGGATAAAGAAATGCCCCCTATAAATAGAAAGGGGTCACTAATACACGGCAAGATTTCCAATGTATTTGATAAAGCGTTGGCACATTTCATTTCAAAATGAATTAAAAAGTAGGCCAGATCTGCAGTGAAAAAGGCGGTATATAAATAAAGATTACTAATAAAGATTACTACAAATAAATAAATACATACATCGATATGACGGACATATCACTGGAATGTTGTATTTTTATTCAACTTCACCAAAGAGGACAACCCCAGCGTGTGAACATGTCGGCACTGAATGCGTACGAGTGCTCCTGAGGACTCGTAGGATTTGTACTTGCCCAAGAGAAATTCTGGTTACGAGAAATATTTGTGAATGCCACTTTCTTCGTAAAAACCGCGTAAGTAGGATTTACGTACAAATCTGTTCCTAAGAACCGTTCGTGAATGAGGCCCAATCCTATTTGTTCCGTCGACGAGTGTCGGGTCCGTTTTCCATTGGAAATACAATGGAATAATATATTTACCACATTATTAAACATGTATTGATATATGTTTGGTTCGAGGTTTTTATCAGAAGAAATGATTAGATTACGTGAGGACTTGTTGTCAAAGAATAGGTTTAGGTTGACAGGAGAAACTGAGGCAGATAATCTATATACGTAACCTGTTCTTTTCCATGAAAGAGCTGGAGGATGCTGTCCAGGCAGGAGCTAACACGACTCCAGGGAAAGATGGAATCAGCTATAAAGCTTATAGCTGATTACAACACCTGGATGAAGGTACATTGCATGAGATTCTTGTCTTATTTAACTACATCTGGGAGGAGGGCGTGTTACCAAGGGCTTGGAAGCATGCTGTCATCGTACCTATTGTGAAGCCAGGAAAGGATCCGTCCTCTCCGTCATCGTACAGGCCAATGGCTTTGAGATCTGTGTTGTGTAAGGTGATGGAGAGGATGGTCACTAATAGACTTGTTTATATTTTGGAAACCACAGGGTTTTTTGTCAAGTATCAAAATGGTTTTAGAAGAGGAAGAATTACAATTGAATCAGTGGCGGTTTTAGACCGAGATGTCAGGAGAGCTATTATTAAAAAAGAAGCTGTTCTAGCTGTGTTTTTAGATATAGAAAAGGCATATGACAGTATGTGGAGAGAGGGTTTACTTCTTAAGTTATATGATGCTGGGGTGCATGGAAGGTTGTTCCGTTGGGTCAAAAACTTCCTTAGTGATAGATCAATCCAGATGAGAATTAGACATTTATTGTCAGGTGCTGTAGAGGTAGCCAATGGAAAA